CATTTGATTTTCACTGGATTTCACATTTAGAATTTTTCTTATTTTGGTGTATCTCTACAACAAATGACCGCAGATACTTTAAATTTTCATTGAATGTTTATATAGGCATTTTATATATTTGATATAATTTTCAAAATATTTAGATTTGTTTTAAGCTGTTTACTGACATTTTAATTTTTCAACTTTTTTGCTTTTTTTGCTATAAATATCTGCAAATTTAATTCCATCCATTACAGTAACCCACTTGTAAGCTACTGTACAGCAGGACGACATCCACTTTCCTGCTTTTTTTTAATTGTTTTTTGAATATAACAACAAATACAAATTTGGAATGACACTGAAAAATAGGTTTGACTTGACGATAATACATAACATATCGAGTGACCGCTGGCAGTCACATAGCAGTCAATATATTAAATAATAAATACAAGATATACCTGTATAAATACAAGAAAAATTAAGAGGGTAAGTTGCAGTAGATGATTTTAACCAAATAACTGTTTCAAATGCAAGTTATTATTAAAGTAATAAACTAAAATAATTTAATTTTAATTTGATATTCAGACTAACTATTCAAGTCCTATTATCATACACAGATCAATGAAAATTAAAAATATATATTATTATTATTATTATTATTATTATTAGTTAAACATAATTTGTCATTATTGCTAATATCTACTTAAAATTTATTATAACCAATAGTGTAGAGATTAACTTACCTTACTGAAATAACCAACAATGTGACATCCATCTTCATCTTGAGTAGTCATTATGTAAAACAAAAATGGTTCAACATCATAATAAAGCGTTTTATGGTCTAAAAAAAACTTTGCAAGCAAACATAAATTTTGGCAGAATATTTTGAATCGTTTTCCATCCACTTCCCAAACAGATATACGGTCTTTCCTAAAAAAAAAAAAAAAACATATAAATTAGAAAAATAGAAAATGATTTATGCTTAAATATTAAAAATATTAACAAAAAAGGTGAGCAAACGGTACCAGCCCTGCTGCGCAGTTAATAGATGTAGAGAGAGGGTTCAATGTAATGATTTTTTTTTAATTTGAATTTAATTATATAAAATCATTGTACCTACACCAAAACAATTCTAAATGAAAACGAGCTGTCAATCTATAATATAATATATTTTATTATATAATTGATAAATGCAAATTTTAATGATATTGATGAATTTTGTAAAAAAATTAGAATTTTAAAAGGTTATAAAAAAAATGTGTGACCAAGTAGGTATCTTAAATATTTTTGTGATATTAAAAACTTATGAGGAACTTAGTATTAAATTTTCAAGTGTTTAAACCTTTAAACAAAAATATTTTGAAGATTTTTTCATGCCTATAAAATTCAAAAATTAATATTTATATAAAATTTCAAGATCTACAGTTATTTTTTTTTTTTTTTTTGTATTATAAATAAATAGTAACATTTACTAAATTAATATATTCATTGCTCCCTCAGAATCTAAAATAGTATAAAAAAAATGAAGAAAATCATATTTAAAAATTCAATAACTGGATAGATAATTAAATCATAAAAAAATGTGTATTACATAATATTAAATAATGTCTTGCTTACCGATAAACTTCATCACCAGGTGGATGTTTCCAAACACATTTTAGTTTATGTCTAAATAGTACTGTTTTACTCTTAATATAGTGTAAACAGAATTCACATAAGTACAATTTTGGTACTTGTGTATATTCTTCTGGGTAAGGACTTTGATACCAAACTTCCATTTCGTACTTTCCCATTTCTAAATACTTTGTGCCTTTAAAATTTGGTAATTGTTTTAAATCTTCTTCCTATTATAGACAAAGATAAATACAATATAAATTACAATATCTAAAAATAAGATTATATAATTAAATAATCATTAAAAATTTGTATTTTTAAGTATTGAAATACTCCAAAAACAATTATACTAGAAAATATGAAACCATAAATATATGTCATCATTCATAAAAAAATAAACAAAATGGAAACTAAAAATTKTTTAGAAATTATTATTTTTTTTAAATACCATTTTTCAATACTATTGAATAATTTAAAAAAAAAAACTTAATACCTAAATGTAATTAAATGGATTATATTGCATAAATAAAACATTAATAATATGATCAATGAAATGTTCAGTATATACATTACATATATTATTTTGCTTTGTTTTAAGGTTTATAAACTCAAAGACCAGGCACTTAAACCTAAACAGTTGACAAATTGCAAGAGTGAACAATAAAACTAAAAAATTTTGATAAATTTCAAATAAAAGATTGATTATTGGAAAATTAAATCCTAAAAAAACTTGTTATTGATATGTTTCAATTAAATTTAAATTAATTTACATTTTATAAACACATTGACCATTTCCAGATGAATCAATACCAAAATTGATCTGGAACAATTAATTACAGTAAAATTAATTTTGTACTTTGGATTGTGATTACAAATTATAAAATACTGGTAAATTAATATAAAAAATGTATTGATCGTCTTATCTAAATTAATTAATACAATAATTAAATACATAACTAATTAAGCTAATAATTATTAAGTTAATAAAAAATGTATGACAATGTTTAACTACAAACTTTTTTAATACTCAGATTTTTTAGTATTCCGGTTTTTCTTATTTATGATACCTTAATTTAAACCAGAACTCACAATCCTTGAAGTACAGAGAAAAGCGTTTACTATACTCTGCTTACGTAAGACAGGAGCTAGTTGCATTACTACTTATCATTATTATTATTTAAAACGGGGGGAATAAATAACCTTGATAATGAAAATCATAATGATACATTGATACTACATAACTTATGTATTATGTTTATGAAACGCTTAATAAAATATCTGAGTATAGAATGTACCCAATATTCAATATGCAGCCCTATATTTTTAGTTGAAATATATTTGTTTGTAAATTAATATTTTTTCATTAGATATGATATCTATTAACATACCTACAAAACTTAATAAAGATATAGTTTTATTTGCACCCATATTAAGTTGATTTACATTCAACTAAGATTTTAAATTATAATTGTCAGAAAATATATTTAGGTACATGTACAATTACTTGATGACATTTTTTAAGTATTGAATACATTTTTGTATATATAAAACATTATCATTTAAAAGTAACAGTATGATTCATTTTGTATTATTGATATCTGTTATTTCTTGTTTATAAAAATAATAATTGTGTTATATTTTGAAAATTATTTGTTACTTATTTTTATTTATACTAAGCAAGGTACTAACAATTTTCTCACTGGCAACTGCTTGTGCTTCTTGAAATAACTTAAGATCATAGGTTGGTATATTAGAGCAATTGAATATATCAGGCTCTAAATCTTTGCCAGCATATTGGTCACTTAGTGAAGTATCACTACTTGATTCATTTTTTTTTTTATCTTCAATATTACTTCTCATTTCTTTTACTTTATCTCGATACATCTTTTGTTCAGCTGAACTGGATTTTAATGCGCCCTTTAAACGCTCTTCATTTTTCTTAAGTCGTTCAGATAAATTTTCCTATAAAAAAATGTACTGTTTAATGTCTAAACAAAGATTTGAAGATTATATAGATAATCAATTATATTACTTGACATTGTTTAATAGTTAATCTGTGATACATAKGGCATGCTTCTGAAGTAAAATGACGCTCATATAAGCCATTCAGATGACCTAATGAATCACAACCATTAACTGGACAAAGTCTTTCTTCTAATTCAACAAGCCCTCCACTATTTAATCTCTTATCATTGCAATTTAGTGGCTTACGGGTTTTTTCACGTGCTTTTTTAGTAGGTGATTTGCAACTTGTACTTGTTGATTTACTTCCTAAATTAACAAATTATATTATTCTATTAATTAATCAATACAAATAAGAAATATATTATGTATCCATATACCTGTATCTGAATCAGAATCTGTTGCAGTCGTAGTTCTATGGCTAGCAGCTAATATACGACTAACTCTGGTAGATCCTCTGGTTGTAACAAGTTTTTGGTCTTGACCAGATTTAGAATTGGAATTATTATTTGAACCATTCTTAGTTGGTTCTGGAACTGGATATTTTCTAGGCCGCCCACGTCCTCTAGAAACCTTACCACTAGATGAAGACTCGTTAGCGCTAGTAACTTTTGTGGCAGGCTGTGGTGTTTTATTTAAAAGTTTCTTTTTGTGTTGTTCTTGTGTTGCTTTTTTAATCTTCTTTTCTAATGATGAATCTGTATCTGAAGATTCTAAATAAGTAAATAATAAATGTTAATGGTTTTCATAGCAAGTTATATTCATACTATTTAATGTTTATGTTGAATAAAATGAGAATGAAAATGTTGATATTAAAACAAATAGTAGTTAAATTACAAGATGAAATAAAAATTTAGTAAGGGGGTGAGAGAGGTTTGATTTAATACAACAATAATAATGAAAGATGGAAAGATAGAAAGAGTAGGTTTATGATGGTCCGGGACTGACAAAACCTTGATTAAGTCTATATATAGAAATTCAAAACAAAAACCATAGATTAAACTTTGAATTAAGAAGAACAACTCAATATCAAATATATAAATACCTTTCAGAAATACTTAAAAATAAAAAATAAAAATTAATAGGGATAAGGATAAATGTTTAAAAATAGACATAAGCCATGGTTCTAATTAGTGATTGGTAACTAAGTACATTTTAAAATATTACCTATTTTATTCAAACAATTTTTCTATATATTTTTACTTATAATATATTATACTAATATTATACTAACCAGAACTTGCTGATGTTAAGGTGGATGTTTTAGTTGTTGGTGAATGTTTTTTTAATTTTGCCATTGCTTTTGGTCTGGGTTTTACTAATGCTTTTTGTGTAGTAGCACTTTTCATTGGCGTAAGTTTTGGAGGTGGAGGATCACTGTCACTACTGTTTATCTTATCTGGACTGAAAATACTTTTTGACTTTGAGTCAGGTTTCTTAACTCCATCAGTGATAGCAGTGGCTTTAGACCTTGGTCCTTGACTACGTTTAACATCAGATTTTTTGTTTTTATCCTGTGATTTTAAAACTGCTGCAACTGTTGCAGTAGCTTTAGGTTTCACTGGTGGAAATTTTCTTTTGGTTTTTGTCTCTGCATCTGTATCTGAATCAGTATAGATAGCAGCTGTTAATTTAGGTGCAGTATTTGATTTATTTTTAAATTTTTCTGGTGAAGATTGTTTTTTAGAAAGTTCAGAAACTTTTGGTTCTGAAGAAGTGGATGCTTTTTTCTTTGGCGATTTCTTATGTTTTTCCGATTCAGAAGAATTATTTTCAGTGGTAGATGAATTTTCAGTATCAGATGAACTTGTGGAATCAGACCCTGATGTTGATGATGATGAACTACTAGAACTATTTGTACTGGAATCTGTACTGGAAGCTAAATCTTTACGTGCTGTAGATTTAGGTGGTGTTGATGACTTATTTACTGAAGTGCCAGACTCCTAAAATATGTATAACACAAAGAATGTTATTAAAATCTAAAATATTTAACAATACACAAAGCATAATTTTTTTTTAGATACAGATTAAAAATAAATRAATATTCATTATTCAATATTCTAAATTCTTATACCTATTCTGTATAACATAATATAATATACAAATATTTATTTATAAACTCGGAAAAATTTAAACATAAAACATGTAAAAATAAGATTTTTAGTCAACTCTTAAAATTTATTTAGTTAATAATAAAATGCACTTTAAATACCAACCTACTTGCATAATATTCTAAAGACAAAAATCACATACTTTAATCATAATTTGTTGTATATAGTTATATACCCTGTTATATATGAATAATGAATATTCAATATTTAATAAGTACTAGTGCTATCACTTTAGGACTAAATAATAACAAAATAAATATAGTTTAACCGTCAAAATATTTATAACAAGTATCTAAATGGAAAAAAAATTAAACGCCTATTAAAAATAATAAAATTGTAAGCTAAACTATATACAATGGAACCTCGATAACTTGAATTGGTTGGAGAAGGAAAAAAAATTAGAGTCATCGAAAATTCAACTTACGGAAAATCTCGATAACATATATTGTAAGACAGGGGCCAAGGCATTCCTTTGAGTTATCAAAAATACAACTTATAGTGGTTTAAGTCCAATGTACTTGTATTAATGAAAAGCCCAATAATTTTTATCTAGTAATATAAAATAAGAAGATAAAACTAATATTATTAGATTTAATTAATTATTTTTCTTTAGCTAAACAGTTATTTAAACATTTTAAACATAGAATCTAGTGTAGTAGATGAACACTGCTAAACCATATTATAATTATTATGTAAATATTGTTACTTATTATTGTAATCATCAATACTGTATCATTAACTTAAGTTAAATATTATCATATTATTATGTTAAAACTTTCTAACTTTTACATCTGTAGATGTAGATAGCCAACTTATTATCTAATAAGAAAAAAAAAGTGTAATCAATATTCGAATAAAATAAGATAAACTAAAATAAAGTAGTTTTCAAAAGTAATAGTTTATATATGATGTTGCATTTGTTTTTTTTGTTTTTTTTGTACTACTTTTAATTTTCCTGAACACATATAATTAAAATTGTAATAGGACTTACATCCGTATATTGAATAAATAAATAAATTAATTAAATAAGAGAATCAGCAAACAGAAAAACATTTTACAACAAATAATTTAATATTGAATTATCGAGATTTGTAGGTATGTAAATATGTATTTACTCTAAAAGATTAACTCTAATGTATTTACAATACATTGGATTTTTTCAACGTGTTGCAATTTCACATTCCAACTTTGAGTTGCAAACCCTACTTAATTGATTACATTAACTCAAGGACTACTGTACAAAACTTGAAATAACTTGTTATTCTCAATATATTTTATATTTACACAAATTGAAACTATTTTTGTGCCATCGCTAAAGCATTTTAAAACACATCAAACACTTTTAAAAATTAATAGATTAAATTTCTATTTAGATATCAGTATTGTATTACAGTCAAATAAAACATATACAATAAGAAGGGCTTGGAATAAAATATGTATAATTTCATTAATACTAAACATTCTGTATTGAGAAATCGATGTTTAGATTTAATAAATAAACCATTTTAGCAACATAAATTATAGTGAACAACAAACTATTTTGTCAATAAAACAATTGGTTATAATCAACTAGAATAAAGATATACTAACCTTTTTCTTTACAGTCATGTTGAAAGATTAATTATAATACTTATGCACCATAAACAATTAAATAGGTTTAAAAAGAAAATACGAAGACTCGACTTAGAATGTTGTCGAAAACAACAAAATTACAACCGAACTCAGTTCTTATCTGTTTGTAAACAGTTTAGGACCGGGAATCGCAATGTAAGAGGGGAGGCTAGATCAGATATCTCGAAACTTGATAACAGCAATTCGATTGTTGGGACATCAGTTGTGCCAACGTTGAAACCCGAAAATCTTAGTAATATCATAGAACAGTAATATTGTTCTGTGGTAATTATTACATTATAGTGTTTTATTAATTGTTTTAATGTTTTACAAATTATGCTCTTATTGAAAGACCGAAAGGAAAAGTCAGTGGCGTACTCAGAGTCGGGGGAAGGGGTTTTGGGGCTTCAACCCCTCACATTGGCAGTATTATGATATACATTTTATGTAATAAAATGCAAACTACAAACTACAAACCATGATATTTCTAAAAACAAATGAAATGAAACGATGAATGCATATTATTTTTAAAGCTTCTTTGATGCATCTAAATCAGGACTTTAATTTATTATAAATTATAATATATAACATTAGGTGCACTCAATTAATCAGTTTTAATTTTAATCGCAACAGTCCAAAAAAGTGAAAATATATATATATATAGTTTGGTTTTCAAAACCAACGTAATTCTAGGTATTTGGTGAATTAAAAAAGTGAATCCAAAAATAATATCACAGTTGAAAAATATTTAAAATGCATAGGTACTTTTTTATGACCGTTTATTAGTTAAAATGTTGACAAAATTTATTTAATTGAAAATTTACAAATTATTTAGTCGTTAAAAATTTATAAAACGCTTAATTTTAATAGAATCACTATTGAACTTTAGATGGTTTCTGATTCCGATAAATTATAACCATACCTATGTCCTATGCACAGTTCTGGCAAGTGCCAAAAGAAATAACGCAGATATTTAAAAATATCTATCGTTGGTACCTTTTTTTCAATATTTGTATATATCCGAATTCCGTCGGTAAAAATAAATAGGGCAATATTATTTATAGTGGATGGAAACTTTTTTGAATAAAAATGCTGATGTAAAATGGATTTTCAGAGACCGAAAAATGTATTTATAGTGTTTTATTTTATATTATTATTAAACTATAATAAATTGTGGATATCTATGAATGTTTAAATTATTTAGCCGTAAATAATAATTGCCGTGTTCAGGTGTCGTCATTTATACAAAATGTGGCCTTTATACCTACACAATTTTGGAGTTATCTGCAAACAGGAATTTTCCTGCAGAGTTTAGAGTGTTTATCAAAAAGTTTATGGATAGATAGCCAAACATAGTTAATAATCAGTGCTGCAATCCTAAAAAAATCAGAGGGTATACCATGAGTTATAATATTAAACATTTATACTATCAACTATCATTAGGTATCAATTTGGCAGAGGGTAAATAACACAAAACACATACATTAAGTGTACAAATTAAAATTAAAACTAAATATTTTTTTTTCTAAATAAATTTATTGAAAAATATTCCTTAAATGTTGTTTGGATTCCGATTTTATTGAATTATTTCTTTTCAATCTTGATTGGTTGTCATCAGCTGAGCGATGGTCTTCTAGCCACAACCTCACGTACATTTCTGGGTTGAACACTTCCATAGGTGGTCCGTTACTTTTAATAAACATTAAACTTGATAGGTACGTTTAAAACTTTGAAATCAAAAATGATGCCCTCAAATTTATAATAGGTAATATTATTCAAATTATGTTTTATACAAATTGTCTATCTTAATGATTCTTAATATTCTTAGTTTTTCTATCAAAAATATTAATAATAATCTAATGACTTTATCTTTATATTATTTGGTAATTTCACTATAATATAGAGAGTATACGACCTTAATCAGAAGGTATACGGAGTATATTAGAAATAACCAGAAAATATACGGAGTATAGCGCCGTATACCCTCCATCCACTACTGCAGCATTGCCAATAATATTCATATAGGTATCTGGTATAGGCATGACAAATAATAATTAACGAATTCTTCACTTAAATAGTTAAATAACAATCATAGGCGTGTCCACGGGGGATGCAGGGTATGCACCTGCACCCTCTGCAATTTCAAGTGGCACCATGAATTATTAAGAAAAATTATTCAAAAAAGGGGGCTAGGGCCCATTAGCCTCTTGGGTACGCACCAGGATGCACCCTCTGCGTCAAAGGTCTAGACACGCCTATGATAACAATAATAGTATACTGTATACAGCGTGAAGCGTGATTACAATTTAAGGTAACATCATTGATTATAGAATGTCTAGAATTATCTCAGGTGAATGACCTTGTATTGAAATGGGGTTTTTGGGAGGGGATGGGGAGTACGAGTACCTATAATGTGCYCATTCGCAATACAGCTTGCATTTTTAARCTACGRTTTTTTTCTACATATTCTGATATRTGATATACATATAGATTACTTTTTTTAAAACCAGCTTTTGCCGTTTTATCTATAAACTAAAAAAAATTATTAKAATAATCATGATGGGATTAATGAAAATAAAATGTTGAAAGGTAAACATTTTCAGTTAGGTGGTATCTTTATTTTTTTTTTAATTAACGTAGCCCTTTGCCCTTATCTATGTGATTCTAATAAAAAAACAGATTTACGAAATATTTATTATCTTAGGATAGATATCGCAATGGGTAAATTCTCGTGGGACATCTTATATATGATGTGAATTAAAATTCAAGAAATTCAAGAATAGGTACATCATAACTCTAGCCAAACATTTTCACAGCTCACTGCTCAGCTCATCAGGTTCAATGTTCTACAACTTACATTCCGAACTACCTTATTAACATCGTTTACAATGGGGCCGTTCTCAAGACTTTCTTATAGTTAACTATTTGTACTTAGATAGTTAGATAATAACCCAACATATTATGTTATCTTATTTACTTTGTTATTTTTTATTACTTATTCTGTAATTTACACCTAATTACTTTATCATGTTAAAATAGCCGAATCAAATCAGTAGGTACATAATATCCATAGATGCAGATAGCTTGGCTAAGAACATCTTATAATAAAATTAATAATAATAATAAAAAAATTAAATGTGAGTTAGTTTAATTATTTTATTCAATTTTTTCTAGAGATATTAAGTTTTTTGTCACTCCTGAAAAATTATAAAATTTGGACATGTGCCCTTCTTGCGTTTAAGTGATTCAAATATTATAAATGCTTTGATATAATCCTTGCTTAAAAAATAAAATATATTTTATATTGTGGTAACTTTTAAACTTAGTACTTAAATTACTTTTATTAAAACTTTATTATTCATATAATATTTGTGATTGGCAAAATTCTGTTTAGGGCATAATTTTGTACTATAATATTAGCCATAGAGTAATATGTTTGAAAATATTTATGATTATATATTTTCATAGTCACATTACTTATATTACTTACATATACATATATTTTAATTTATCAAATTCAGAGTATAATTTTTAAACGATTTTTATCTTTTTTTTTCAAATAAAAACAGTGTTGTAACATTATGATTGAAGGGCTGTATATTTATTAAGCAATGAACTGTGGGCAGCTGACATTTTAACTCCTGATAGGAATAGGTTGGCACTTGCTACCCGTATATGTCTGTATGTAGGTACAAATGTACAATGACAATATGTAGAGCATGCAAGGGTAGATTTATAGGTAGGTACATTGCGCAATATATAGTCAACAGATTTTTAGTTAACAATTGTTATTATTATTATTATTATTATTATTGTTATCGTGTTCTATAAAGAATATGACTAAACTACAAGGGACAAGGAATAAGCATTAGAATATAATGTTAGACGACAAAGGGGACTAGAAAATAATAATAATAATAATAATAAAATATAATATATATACTAATATATTATTAGTATAAGTATCTGGTATTTTATATCATTAGGTATATTATGACCCACGTAACTAGTTGTCTGAATATTGCATAATAATATAAAATATAATATGCACCAATAACATATTACATTTTTATTTATTATATTTATATGTATACCATATGATRACAAAGAAATTTTATGGAATAATATAAATATATTTTATATAAGAACGGCTGTSGGCTATATTATGATTTTGAAATTGATCATACACAAAGTGCCAAAGTAAAATTGTGAACCCAGCTTAAAACTTTTATACTTGAAAAAAATATTATATAGGTAATATACGTATATATTACATAACTATCTTAATTTATTCACATTGTAAATAAGTAAATATTATTTGTTTGTTTATCATTTAAAAAAAAAATCAATAAGAACTTATTTAAAAAATAACTACATAGTTTTGATTTTATAGTATTTTAATAAGGAACACATATTTCAAATAAAAATCCATGTAATTGAAAATAAATAGGTAATTAAGTCAATTTATTTTTGGGCTGTTTATAAGTCTTTTTGTAAAAGTCCCAGAACAAAATAAACATAAACATATCTTGTGGCATTGCTAATGCTAATATAAATTTGGGATAACTGCAGTCCGTTGCCAATAATGCWGTACATCCATGGAGGCCAGTAATAACGAATTGAATCTGCAARAATTATTTAAAACATTAGTAGGTATTATAAAAAAATATATGTGAATACTAAATAACTAATATTGATATAATATTTAATAGTTGGTAATATAATTATGAGTACTTCAGATTTTCTAAGTTATAAGTTTATAACTATTAAAAACAACATTAACCGTTCCACATTTCCTACCTCTCACCAAAAATGTTATATTTTCTAAAATATGTTTTAAATTTTAGATATGCATTTATTTAGTGTATTAAATATATTTATTACTCGTTCTATTAAAACAATAAATGTTACACTGATATTAAAAAAATACGATTATGAAATAAAACAAATATTATATTGTTCTCTTTAATATTGACCTAATCAAGTCAATAATTGTAGTTATAAAAATAATTTGTTATAAAAAAGTCATCCTTCAATATTATCTTATTTAAAAATAAAGTGTAGATGAGTCTTCATTCAATAAATGAAAACATTTAAGTGTTGTTTCATAATTTATGGGTTTTGAAAAATACTACTTTTTAAGTTAATTAACATTTAAAAATTAAACCAAATTTCAACTTAAGATAATAATTAATATTTATAAATCAAAATATTTCTAATTACTATGAGAAACCTTATCTATTGAGATTTGAGATATTGAGTTTTTAAATTTAAGAAGATGATACACCCATCATGTGCATRTGTTGTTACCGTCTTACAAATGTAAAACAACATTGCGAAAATTGTTTTACGCGGGAAGGGGGAAAGAACCACTCAAGCTGTAATACAAAATAAGCAACCAAATTTTCACACTAGAAAGAGRAGAATATTTTCTATGCAACGTTGTTTTTAATTTTTCAATATTACAACTACAAAAAGTTCTTATTGTTTAAAAATTCATTATTTTTGAATTTTTCAAACTTGAATAACTTTATTTTTTAGTTCTGATATCGAAAAAATAAAAACAACGTTACACCGTAAATATTCTYTTCTTTATAGTGTAGAAATTTGGTTACTTAGCTTAGATTACAGCTTGAGTGATTCTTTTTCGCCAAAACAGTATTCGCAATGTTTTACATTTGTAAGACGGAGACAACACATGCGGGTGTGGCGTCTTTTTAAAACATTACCAGTTGTAATTGAGTTAAATGTTTCTTCCACCATGCTTTTTTGTATTCTGGTTTCAATATAGTCAAGAAGTAATAACTGTACATGACAACGTGAACAAATGCATTTATAGTACCAAACAAGATGATTTGTCCTCCTAAATTTACCAAACAGTCATAAATAAATTATTATTTTATWWGAAAAAATATTGATGTCATAAATTAAAAATTATTTTTACCTGGATAAAATTTTATTATACTCCARCCAAACATCAAGACCATTGAATGATGATAGATGTGTAAAAACGTCACTTGATTTTGTTTTTTACGTAACACGAAGAATATCTAAAATAATCAATAAAATTTTTTGTAAATTATAATAACCATAAATTGTAYATATTTATAATATTATTTGAGATCTGTGATATTACCGTGTCGAGTAAATCTAAGACTTTAGAAAAGAAGTAAACCCAAACAGCGCTAAGTATCTATAAATAATAAGTATGAAAAATTTCAATTTAATTTTTAAATATGAACATTTTCATTAAATATATTTATTTATTTATGTTGGTTAGTATAATTATGTAATTAATAATATTGTGAGGTTAAAAATGAATATATTATATATACGGGTGGTAAAACATTAATTATTTCAGGAAATATGTTTTACATGAGTAAGGTCGTTACAAAACAACATTTTTAGATACTAATATTCTTTTTAGTTTTCATAGGTTGTTTATCCTTTTAATTTTTAAGTTTTGTTTGCTCTTTTGAATGGCAGCATACACTTTTGATTTCATAATCTGAATCCAAATTTTATTTAAAGTATATTTATCTATAAAAATCAAAATTTTGACTCTAGTTTATTAGTTATAACTTATAACCTGTAAATATTTAAATTTAGAAGAGTGTACTAGAGGACCAAAATTTTACAKGTATCTTTAACTATTTTAAATATTTACGATAAACTACTAGTCATATTCGAATTCCATGTATATAAGTAATTTTATAAGTATTTTGCTTTGGTATAATGAATTAAAAATGAATAACGATGACAAATAATATATTAAAAATTTAGTTTAACTAGGAAAATTTAGTTTTATGAATAMTTTTAACTATATAACAAAAGTTTTTTTAATTTAACTACGATGAATATAATATAATTGTTGAGCTGTAATAGCTGATACTAAAAGCCAATAAAATAGAAAAAGAAAGTTTTTTTCAAAAACATGATTAATTTTTGAAATAATGAATGTCTTATACGTTATATAGATGTTTTTTGATATACGATATACCAATATATATGTTAGGTACTAAGGGCTAGTTGTRCCATCTCTGATTAAAGTTAACCGAAGTTTAATCGGCCGAATTTGCAAGGTTAAATATCTGTTATCAGCTGATTAAGCATAATCGAAGTTTAACCGTAGACGGYACAACTGGCCCTAAGTCCAACATTTTACATATTATACAATGTGTACTGCAGTGTAACTATAGAAAGAAAACTCATTTAACCACGTGTATAAAGTTCTTGTTTTTATAAAACCTTTTAAAAAGTTCCTATAAACATTTTTTATTTTTTTTTTCAAATGTAATAGTGTCTGAATATTAATATAAAGGKCACTCGCTGTGTTGTGTCCATCTCTGTGGATAAGTGGGTAACATAAACAATTTAATATTCAAGCAGTCACATTTAGTTTCATTTGTTTGAAATTAAAGTGAATATTGAACTTTTATAAAATTTAAAGTTAAGTGTTTTATTTAGATCATCGCATAGGCTTTTTATTATATCTTAATTTTAAAACGAGTTTAAGATGTACAAACGGTTCTACCCACTTTTGMCGAATCCCAATTTGCCGAMAAATATACCARTTTAAAAATATTTTAAAAACGTTCCCATTTCGCCGACAGTCTAGTTTGCCGATATCTTGGTTTGCCGACAAATTATAAATATAGTTTCAATTTTCCCGATTCGCCGAAAGGTGACAATAATTTTTATCAAAAACGGATTTTACTTATGGACTATTTTGTGGATACATATTTAAWTAATGATGCTTGCATGTTCGACCGGAAAATATGGAATCACTTCAACACTGATAAGAAACAGACAACTAACCAATTAGAAGGTTAGCATGCAGCTTTAAACCGATCTATTAGTCGACCAAAGCCAAATATATTTTTGTTGATAAACGAGATAAAAAATCAACAACAAAATTTTGAACTCGACATTGTAGCCCAGAAAAACGGTAATCCAAAACCATTAAGTAAAATAAAGTTTCGGAATCTTGAAGAAAGATTAGCAAATGCAAAGGATAGGTAAATATTATAAAATGGTTAATTTTTACACGTAGGATTGTTAATAAGTTATTTTGTACTTTATTTTAGATTGGAATCAAAAGAAATTTCATAATTGGACTACATTGATATAATAAAATATCACATATATCATATTATACATACAATAATTTTTGTTTATAATTTTTTTTTTTTATTTATATTGACTTTTATTATATATAACTAGTATAATAATATAATGTATTTTTTTTTATTTACAGGAACTTTAATTTATGATGGCTTTTATCATATACCTAGTATAATATAATGTTTATTTTTTTTATATAATATTTATATTCGGCGAATTGGGAATCGGCAAGTTGGGAACATGTAAAAAATAGTCGGCGAACATGGGGTGTCGGCAAATTGGGTTTCGGCGACGTGGGAAGACACGGTACAAACAACTTACAATTTTCCAATACTCATAACTCGTTTTAAAATTAAAATATAGTAAGAAGCCTATTTGATGCCCTAGATAATATATTTACCTTTGAATTTTATAAGAGGTTAATTCATTCTAACTTTCAAGCTAATGAAGCTAAACGTGAATTGTGGCTGCCACGACCTTTTAATATTATAATTATAAAAATAACGATTATATTAAAAATTACATAGCATATTACATAAACTTTTTCATTTATACAATTTCACAATTTCTTATTAAAAAGCATTTTTATAAGTATTTTCCAGTTTCCTATATAAAATATTACATTCAAATTATACATTTATTTAAGAAAATTGTATTTCACTCAAGATTTGCAATATMATATATGTATAACAATGAAACTTTYGATGACGTAATTTAGATAATTAAGTGAATTTATGTATTTTATTTTAGTTACTAATCGTTATAATAATAATCAAATACTACAACGATTACTTCAATAAATTATGAAATTTTATTATACAACAATGTTGTAATTGTTGATACTTAAAATAATTTTTTAATATAAAACACGATCAGTACAAAAGTGGTCAAAATGTGTTTTTTACGATAGATTTGTAAATTTCACGATACGTATTTATGTGATGTGCTGTGTTGAACACTTGAACAGTGTTTCTTCTTCATACAGGAATATTGCATGTCTTATTATAATAATATATATGTATTATGTTAAAAATGTGTAGTTAATATTACGTTTCTTGATTTATCTGTGTCACTATAATCAATTTCAATGCAGTTAAAACTTTTGTAGTCACCTTGAAGCCATACTAACCGAAATGCCTGTAAATTTAAACACAAGAAACAAAATTTAATTTAATTTACATTAATTAATTGCTGGGTTTAATATAAAGTCATCATCTTAGTAGCTTTTATTAACACTGAAAGTAATATTAGCTGAAAAAAGATTACTATTTTACCTAATATCACATGCATTCTAGTATATACCTAACAACTCGTTGAGAAAATCTGCAGTACCTAATCGTTGGAGGATTTCAACGCACTGTTTGTTTTTACTTTCTCGCTCACGCGCGTCATAGACAAAACTCATTTACGCAGTCTAAATAGATCTCGTTCAATTCAGATTATAAAGTAAACATATATATTTTAAAATTAAAAGATGGGAATATTTCGAAGTGCAAAATGGTGAATTTTTTTCATTATTCTGAATACAACACTCAATGAATTGTTTAGAAATAAACCATTTCAAATAGATAACTTCTACATTTTTTAGAACCTGAAGCTTTTAAAACATAATGCAACATATTGCGCACTAAAATATTCATATATTTCATAATAGATATTTTTATCCTAAACCAAGATTAAACGTGATCCACTCAGACTGCAGCGTAAACGCGTTTGTCTATGTTGCTCGTGGGTGAGAAAGATAAACAGACAGTGCACTAACATCCTCATAAGATTTAAATGATTTAATGGTAAGATGATTTTGAAAAAATATTATGTAGGATGCAATAAAAAAATGAATTTAATATAATAAGCAAATCTTTTACCTATATAAATATGGATGTTTTTGAGAACGTGGTACATAATATAATTATTGACCTGTTGTCTATGATTTATTGAAATATACAATAAAATATAGTAGGTATACAAATAAAATAAGTACAAAGTACAGCAGTTTTAATTATTACAATAGATAACTATAACATAGCTTGTACTTATATTCAAAATATAGGCCACTGATTTTTACGAAAGTTTCAGTAACTTTTCTTAGAGTTATCAGGAAAGTTTATAGAGTAGTATGAACTACGTTAAAAATATACTGAGTAAAATATAGTGCGTATAATACGCAACGGGAGGAAATAAGGTGCCTATCTCGGTCACATATTATATATTAATATATAGTGTATTTACATATATTAGTTCACATACCGAGATAGGTACACCGATGCCAATATTTCCTTGAACCTATATGTTTAAATCCAAGATTTACCGATATAGTCACGTATTTTGTGTCTGTTCATTTTTTCCAGGCAAATTCGAGATAATTTTATTAAAATGGAGCTAGTATTATCATACAATTAATATTAACAGTATATCAAAACAAATGTCAATGTTTACAAACAAAATATAATATTCATATATTTATTATTATTATAGATACTTATAAAATATATTTCACTGAAGATTACACGCGTCAATACGTTATGTTGTAATAAATATTACCTCTTTCACTAGATAGGCTGAACATAAAACTTGGACAACATTGTACACCATAACAATACGATCAATTTTCAATGGGCTACGATACTTCATGAATTTTGGACCCGCATTCAGAACAAAGTATAGATAAGCAGTGAGAATTATCACAACTGGCCATGGAGAATCCATTAGCCAGTAGTCTTTAATTCTTGAATCTAGATTAATAATATAACACAAATTACAAATATACAGGGTGTTCACCAAGTATGATTAACACTATTTTTTCATTTAATGAAGAATTTATTCAAAAATTGGTTTTTGGAACTTAAGTATACTTATAAGTATCGTTTTCAAAATCCTGAGATTTTTATATGCACTAGTTATAGAATGTTTCTCTTTTTTGGAGTTGATACCAACTTCAATTTTTCACTTGGTACTATCTCAAGAAATCGAAAATATGGACTTAAATGCTGGGTTGCATGAAAAATTGATTTATAAAATAATTCAAAAAATTAAATAAACTATTGAGTTAACCTAACCTAACCATGGGCCATCAAATCAGGAATAAGGAACTATTAGTTCACTATTGATTCGTTAAATCTTAAATGTTTAATAATAGGCAACATATATATTATTTATAAATTCGAAAAAACAAATTTTGAATTCATTACTAAATAAAAAAAAATGATGGTGGACATGATTAGTGGATTACTCTTTATAAAAATGTTAGGATAAAWTTTAAAATTACTAAAATTAGTTTTTACCTATTTAGGTAATTATGTAATATGCAATACTATAATAATTTTGCTGAATTTCATAATATGCTATATCACTTTTTAAAATGAATTTATTGCTATAAATTAGTTAAAATATAATATCATAATAAATTRTAATATTTTATATTATCCTGTATTTTAATATACGTAGTTTAAAATATTATTAGCTTACCTCCATTTTTATCTATCCACTCTAAGATACCGGAAACTTTTTGGTATAGAACTGACATCTGAAAATAAAGACAAATACTGTAATAAAGATAATGGCGAAATGAGATTTTCAAGGATATATATTTAATCATTTGAAAAGTCACATCTTTCATTCCTGTGAGGGCCGGGTACGTACAATAATAATAATAATAATACGTGATACCCGGTCATCGAAGTACCTACTTCGCGTGTTGTATCACACCACCACTTACAGATCGACCCGTGTAAATGGTGTTTATATATAATGTTTAGCATTCAATAGGAAATTACAGGTTCGCTTAGCAATTAATATTGTGAGCAACTTATATTATGTAAGTGGGGTGTGTACACTTAAACTAATTAACAAAAGATAACTCTAAGATAGGTAATTTTTCAATATTAATGGTATGAAGAAATAATATATACATAATTACAGTAACACAAACGTATAAGTACAAATAATATTATTTATCTCTCTTGGTTAAACAATTAAAAATGTATGACATAATAATAAATAAAAAACTCAGAATTTGTGGAGCGCAGACTGACCAGCTAGTCCTACCTATATAGAAAAAGTTACGGACACAAAAACTAAAAGATACAATATTTAAAACATAATCACAAATTGTGTAGGTATATAGTATGATGATAATACAAAATAGTGGTGATTTCTACCAGTAGGATTAATAATAAAGATAATATAAAAAACGGTGAGACTAGCACCAGTTAGGATAAAATATAAACGCAATATAAAAAGTTAAAACTATAAAGATAACTAAAATATTATATCTATAACTTTAATAAAAATCAAAATGATCGAAAGGAGTTTATCTATACAAAGATAATTTATAGAAATGCCAAAAGTATCTATAGATAAAGCCATAAAGGTAATTAATAAATGTATTTTATCTAACTAAAATATAGATAAGATTTTTTTGTATTTTTTTATACTTGACATAAACTTACTATGCAGTTAGAAATCTCCTAAGGGGCCAGTATATTAAATACCATATATATTTGAGATTGACTGTGCACTCAGGGCCGGATTGTTTGGCGAGCTTCCGAGAAAACCTCGGTGGGCCGCTCAAAAAAAATGTCGATTGTAAGTGTTTGGTCAATTATTTCATAACACAAATTTGAATGCATTTATTTAACTCTGTGCAATACGTCAAATCTAAATCAATTTATACATTTTTATTTGAAAAAGGCCCCTTTTAGGGCCGGTTAAAAAACTAAAACTCGGTGGGCCGATACCTTGTCTATCCGGCACTGCGTGCACTACACACACCAAAGAGGTGGCCGAACCCCTCGCCCACCCTAAATAYGCTATTGGATCGTATAAGATAGGTACATACATACATACCTAATACATATTAAATGTTATCTATTTTTAGAATTTGATTATCAAAACACAATACAACGCATCGTCAACGCGGACAATAACAGCTGTCATTCTGATGAGTTCTTATAACCTAACAAATTTTTTTATAAAAGCCCCAGATTGCTATTTCATAAGACCAGACTGGTCTTATGATTGACTTATATATAATAAGTTTGTTTTGGAGTTTAGGAGAAGTCGGAGGAGGTGAAGTCTATTGTTCACTGATTTWCTAAATTCGTCTTACTTATTCAAAATATAATTATCARATTACTTAATGTTACTCATGTCATTTTTAATATTATAACGAATTTATTGAACTATATGCAAATTTAAAGCTATCTAAGAATAATATTTATATGACTAATAATGGTTTTTTTTACATTGATACTAATTTAGAAGCAAGTTACGAGTTTTTCAAAATTTAGAATTTAGAATTATAAATTTATCATAACATGTTTTTAAAAAAAAACATAAAAAAAGTTATCAAGCTAAATAATTTTACTTTTTAATTTATTAACAGGTCAATTCATTTAACTATATTTAAGCTTTTAAGCATCAAAAATAATACAGTAAAACGAATAATTCTGAACGTAAACTTTGATGTATATTAGGTAGGTACATAAGTTTATTTTAGACGGGTGCAATGCGAGAGGTTATATAGATAAACAATATTGACAACATTAATTAACTATACTAAGTATTACGAAAAAAAATGTATAAAAGTGTTATTATTAATAATTAGTATATAACAGTGATAGAGGAGGAKGCTATGATGGACATATGAAAACTCTAAAAAACTTAGTTAAATTTAAAMTTAACCTCTTCCCAATTCATGATCCTAGCTACACCATTGTATGTAAGTRTAATAATAATTAATATTTATTAAATTTTAGATTTTAATTAGAGAGATGAATGTATTGATTTTACAATAATATGAGTTTTTTTATTATTATTATTTGTGTCTTAATACATAATAAATAGTCAAACTATACTTCGATTTTAAGCTCCAGTAACTTTTCTTGTTGTAAAGTAAATCTARTTGGTGCATTCAAGGGGTTAAAATTAGCATCGGGAGAAACGAAAAAAATAAGAAAAAACGGMAATTCTTACACAAAATCGGTTTTGTTTTTTATTTAATTATATTGTCAATAAAAAATGTTTTGATCTCGACATTTTATTTAAATAATTTCGTTCTTAAAATGTAAAAAAAGTCCAATTATTATACTTGATAAGCATTGAAAATTCAAATCAAAGTTTCTCATATAAGTATTCCATAATGTAAATAAAAACACAAATTTTTTAAATAAATATTTTAAGCTTGAGTGGCACATGCTGAGTGCCTGCCCATAAAMGCTACCTCCTGTTATTAATTCTTGTATCTAACTTACTGTATCTACTTATTATACTAATAATATTGTATAGATTGTAAATAAAATGTTTGATAGCGATAAAAAAAGACATCTATCTCATGTTAATATTTAGACGAACTTGAATGTTTAAATGGAGAATAACAATTTTATTTATTTATTTGCAATCTAAAAATATTTTAAGTGTAATAATATTGGCTGACCGCCTACGGTTAAAATCGTTTTTCGTTTATGATGGTTTTATATSATTGAATTCAAATTCAACACATTCATTATAGTGACCCTTCTAGATACTTACTATATAGGTAGCAGAGCGGTACCCACTTGCGCTTGCCCACCGACAACCTTTTTAATTATGTTAATGTAATCATAAGCAGTTTAGTTGCAGACAAACTGAATATAAAAACTTAATTTTTTTTAAACCCTCTCCTCTTTGATGATCCCACAATAGGCTTCACTGCTAATTTAAAGTAAGTTAATTTMAATTCTTACAGTGACAACAATGGTATATTTAGATCTTCTAAAACAATATTAGTTTTTGAAATTAGAACAAATATTCCTAGAAAATATTTTTATGGTATGAATCCCATTAAAATAATTTATATTCTTGTATAACATTAAAACCACTGGACGACWCGTTATCTTGTGATGAAAATGAATACTTCATTATTTTCGTTTACACAAAAACATGTCTTTTTATCTTTTATTTATGTGCGTCAATGGGATTGCGAGCTTCTTATATGACTTAACATTAACATTGTTTACACTTCATGATGATACCTATTAAAWAGTAATTGTGTTATACTTTATACTCTGAGTAAACAATATTTCAATTCAAAGTTACAAAATTGTCAAGATTAAGTCTAATAGGTTGCAAAAGTAAGGTCATACCTATACTTTTAATTTTTATGTAATACAAAATAGAGGCATGGCTCCAAGAGTGTGGAGGGGTGTGGCCGTACCATCTTTATGACCAGACCAGACCAGATATTTAAAATAATTAGGCACGTAGCGATGCTCTAAATAATATAAATAGGTATAATAATAATAAACAAATGACATGTACCTACGATGGTTTAGTTAATAATAAATCRATTATCATTGAAAATTTAGTGAAGGTAAGTACCTATATCGCCAGTAATATCTAATTTAATGATAATATAATCTTATTGTTGTTTTTCTARGAATGAAAGAAATGTATATAAATATTGTAGAAGCATAGTATACGCGTAATATAATAATATATATTAAAAGAGAMCATTTCGATTTCATTTAAATAAATTTGAAATCATATCTAMTTTYATTTATTGTTAATTGTCTTGTAACTTTACGTGTTATTATATTTTGAAAGGTTTGTATGATAATGCTATGCATCTTATATGAATAGGATGCATGTACCTATAACGTACATTGTTGATCACATCCTCATCCCCTGATATAAATATATAATTAGTATTGGGTAAGTAAATAATGACTGTTAATCAGGTAAATTATAGTCATATATCGAGACAATAGTATTATAAACTATAGGACAAATTATTGCAGAATATACATAATTTTCAAATCAATTTTGTATATTAAGTTTGTGAGTATTTTTATACCTGCACAATATGATTTAGTATGATACAGAAAGTATAATGCAYAACTTTGATATTTAAATAATCAATAATAATAATTATAAACGATGCTTACCTTGKAAGTACTGTTGKGTATTTGTATCTTGAAATGCGAGAATATTAAAACTCAATAGGATAAGGTATATATTTAATAGTAGATAATATGGAATAATATATAACAGTTAAAAATGTACTGAGRCTACCGCACCTAACCTAACCACAATGCCACACGGGTCTGATAAATTTAAATTAACTAACGAACATTATATTTCTTAAGACGAAATGAAGACCATGTAGTTCCAAGCATTGTGTAGGCCAAGATATTGGTTTAATTTGAATATTTAACAGAGGTCACACAGGAAATAATGACATTAGAAATATTGTAACAAGAGTGACGGATTTGTGAGGTAGGTAGGTATAGGCCTTTTTAAAGTTTGTAATGTAACGATTCGGAGTCAACGAACTACATTCAAAATTTACAAGAAAAAAAAATTAAAATAGGATTTAAATAAAACAATGTTTGAAATCATGCGCGTTATTTTAACTCAGCTGTGTTAAAATGAGTGATACGTTAACCATTCAAACCATTTATGCAGAATGATGATAATATTATTAGCCTTTAATACGATTTTAAGTGTTCAATTTAGTTCTTGTGGTATGAAGGTTTAATAGGTATTGGTATTACATGCTTCAAACAAAATTCTTTTCGATTTAAGTATTTCTAATCATCAAATGGTGGACGAGAGTGGGGGGTCGTAAAAACATTTAACTGTAATGTACAAAAATCTGGAAAATAACATTATAGTAAAACCCATACCTTCCGAGACTTCACTCATAGGTAATATAACATTTTGTTAAAATTATGTAATGTTTATAATAGACGTACCAGAGGTTTTTGATTATAAGTAAAATATCATAAACTAACAATATATTATAGTTGAATGACGAATGCCCGTAATTAAATTAAACGTTTGCCCGTCGAAATAGAATATTTTGTTTTATTAGTCAWTATCTGCGAAAGTAGGAAACTATTTACAAAAATCAATAAATAATTAATAATCAAAAAGATTATAGTCTCTAACATGGATATTGTTTTCATTATAATATTAACTATTTATTTTACCAGTAGTTGACTTATTAATTCTAACTAATGAATCATACGCACAAATAAAAAGTCTGAAAGTGTAAATTATTATTATATTTTTATCAAACAACATGTTATAAAATATTAAGTCACAATAAAAATTTACCACTAGTTAAATTAATTTAGATTTGTGATAGAGTATGATTACAATGTATTCGTATGGTAAACTATAACATTTTTAAAAAGTTTAAAAAATCCAGTGGGAACCATTTCAAAATAAGTTTATTTTCATGCATATAATTATTATATACAAAATATTTTTTGAACAAATAAACTACTCCCATATTATACAATTAATTTTTTTTTTATTAAAATTATTGAAATATTTATATCAAAATAAATACATTTTATTGATTAAACGATTGAAATGCATTGTTAATTTAAATAGGTAACAGTTCTATTTTTGCATTTCAACTTAATTAAAAAATTGAATAATTGAAGCTACAATTCAAGACGTAGAAGTTACTGATACATATTGATAGTTCTATTAACCTTAAAAATACGCCTTGAATTTTGATTAAATATAATATTATTCATCAMTTAGAAATTTATTTAAGGTATCTTAAAAATTGAATACTCTCTATAAATGTATAGTAGGTAAATATCAGTAATCAGTAATAGATATATTTATTAAACACCAATAATAGTGGCATGGCAACATAAAAAAAAAAAAAAAAATAATCCTTCCAAAAATACTAAACAGGCATTAGATGTATTATGATTTGTATTATATGATTCTTATATTGTTTATTTAAGAAAATAAAACAAGTTTATTAAATTGAAAAGTTATYAAATGATAAAATCAGTATTTTATAAGCCGATCCGTTAAATATATGGAGATATTCTAAAAGATTGGTATGGAATAAACAAAAATCATTGTATTTTATAATCATCTGAAAATTCATCATTGTTTAATCTTCTTTGGTTTAATGTATGCTTTTTTATAAAAGTCCCAGAATAAAATGAACATAAATATATCTTGTGGAATTGCAAGTAACATTATGATTCTTGGAAAATCACAGTCAGGCTCAAATAGCGTGATTAATGCATGCATTCCAGTAATGACGAATTGCACCTARAAAATAATAAAGATAATAATATTTTATTTCTGTAGAAAATATTCCGTTGGATTACGTTATGGTACAATGTTCCAAACTAATACATTTCCAACAAGACACGTTTCTGAACTTAAACTACTTATATAAACCTAAACCTAGTTCGACAAAATGCGTTYCAATGAAATGCAATTACAAAATATAATTTTCAGACGGTTAAATTTTTAAACGCATAAGTTTTCAAGTTGATATATTTGAAACGAAATACGTTCCAACCAATTATTTTATAAAAAAAAACCAGTGGTTAAAGTGGGAAAAACGTTGAAGGGTGGGACTATAGCCATAGATTATATTTCATTAAAAAGACAAATAAATGCTAATTTATATTGAGTCAGTATCACGTTAGTAAATTTCTTGTTAAACGTACCCCGGCGGCTTTGGAGACTTAAATTAAAGAAGACGTATAATATCTGCCTTAAATAAGAAGAGGACCCGATTGTCCTCCCCCCCCCCCAAATTTAACCACTGAACAAAATATAGCTCTCATTGATAAATTAACTAAATAGTAAACTATTTATATTTATCACATAAAATATATTCAAATCAATAAGTATACATTACCAGTTGTATAACTGTTAAATATTTTTTCCACCATGCTTTTTTGTATTCTGGGTTTATTACAGTCAAAAAGTAGTAGCTATACATTATAACATGCACAAATGCATTAATGGTACCAAAGAATGCGACTTGTCCTCCTAAAATCGATTTAATAATATACATTAAGATTTCTGACGAAAAAATATTTGATGATTATTATTATCAATGGTGTACGCAGGCATAGGAGGGGGATGTCATAATGAAATTTATAWAATACAATCTTTTTGTTCTCCATTTAACATTGACTGGTCAGTAGTAATTTATTCTTATTGAAGTTTTCAAATGTTTAATCGTTTAAATGTAGAAAACCCGTTTTAAGTCCAATCATGTTCGCGGAATAAAAAAAACTAATGCTTATGGACCCCACTCAACAACTCCCTCCAACCCCCCCCCCAAAAAAAAAACATACGCACACCACTAATTACAACCATTGTAATTTCTACATAATATTATACCTGGATAAAAATTAGTTAAGCACCAGCCCAATGTTAYAACTAAAGTATGATGGTAAACATGTAAAAATGTTATTTGACTTTGTTTTTTTCTTAGTACAAAAAACATCTAAAATTGTTTTCAATGCAAAATCTTCAATATAAAACTTAATAGTTGAATGTAGAAAATCATTTATTAATTTAAAATTGAATTACTGTGTCTAGGAGGTCCAACAATTTACTCACGAGGAACAGCCAAACAGTATATACTTGCTAAAAAATAAACAATATTATTTTCTTGCCCATTTAATTATTTTTTCGGAGTAAAATAACAATAAGCATGTAAGAAATTTAAAATTACTTGGTTCGCTATATCAGGGTCATCTTTATTAGTTTCAATGCAATAGAATCGGTAATCGTCACGCAGCCACAACAGTCTAAATGCCTATATTGACGAAAATTGATTCATACATTATTTATTTAAAGCATACAYATTGTTCTATATATAAGACATGAAATTATATCGTACTAACTAATATTATTTAATGTAAAATATTATAAAGTATTTATTTTTACTAAGTTACAGCGTATATAGGTATTACAGTTGTTATTGGTTTTCTGCAATACCTGATTTATAGAAAATAGTATAATTATTGAATTTTTTAAACACATTTTAAAATCCCTATATATTCATCGCTTTATCTATATATATGTTTGTATACATACTTATATATCAAAGAATTTTTAAAAACCTTTAAAATTTTTATTGAAAGATTATAGAAAAATTAAGTCAAAATAATTTTATAGTAACATAATAATATCAGTGTTTATGCATTATAACTCAAATAATATTATAATAATGTAAGTCATTATACTTATTAATTATTATAATGTGTAAGCTAGTTTAAATATTTACGTTGTTTCAAGAAAGAAAAAAAGAGCTCTATTAAAAATGTACTTATTTTTAAATTATTTTTAAAATGTGATATAACTAACAACACAATTAAATAAATAGGTACGCCACACTCTCCTCTCTCTTAAAAATAAAATTTAAAAGTGCAACGCCAATTTTTATCGTTAAAATAAATAAAATGATTATTTAAATATATTAATATTTTAAATAAATATTTTTGTTGTGTAATATTATAACAAATTTTGTTCGCTTACCTCTTTCACCAAGTACAAAGAAAACATAACTTGAATTGCATTATAAATCATAACAATGCGGTCAATGTTGTAAGGGTTACGATACTTCATGAATTCTGGACCAATTTTAAGGACAAAGTACAAATATGAAATTACTATAATTGTTATTGGCCATATTGATCCCATTAACCAAAGATCTTTAACAAAAGGATCTAAAAGGGAATATACAATTTTCTGAGATAATAATACAAAACAAATAATTTTTATATTGTATGTATATAATATATGGTCTTATACATAAAATGAAGGAATTCGTATAGATTCAATTATATTATGTTCACAAAATTATTTTTCAGTGATTGATTAATAATGTTGATATATGTTATCAAATTATCCTTATAGCCTTACATGGGCGCCCATTGGGGGGGAAGATAGGGCACTTGCACCCTTGGACAAAAATAATATGAATCAAGTTTACTTATATATGGCAATACAAATTACAAATATAATATGCATATTTACATTTATATGTGAAAATAACATTAAATCTTTACTTTCTTACATTTGAGATTTTTTTTTTTATTTTGGCCTTCCTTAAAATGTTACCTATGGGCGTGCATGTAGCCTTATAGGTTAGATACCTGTACAATAAGGCAGTTTGTTGACTTCAATAATATTTAGGTATATTTTAAACTCTGAGTGTGGTAATGAATGTATTGGTGTTAGTATGATAATAATATTATGTTTTGGGGGGGTATAGTGGCCGGGCGGATTTACGCGCACCGTCGCCAGTTCGATTCCCGGTCATGGGCGGCATCACTTTCCGGGAAGTTCATGMTGTTTCCCTCCCCCGGACATGGCAGAAACCTACGGGTGACCATTCGAAATTCTGCCAAAAACATCCACGAGTGTCAAAAATCAACAGCTCAACTGTTAAGTGTATAGTAAACGRCTGACTGGCCACGGAAATCGTTTATTTAATATAATTAGATAAAATGGATCTGAACCAATTTTCTCGATGGATAATTAATAATTTTTATAATATCGTACGAATCGGTTTACGAATTGATATTTGTACCTAGTAAAAATTACGACGAACAGATAATTTTACTGTTTAATATTTAATTGGCTGATTTTAGACAAAAAGCGCGCAGCTTTATTTTGTATGTTGTATCTGTGATTTAAGATTGCAAACGCCTATATGGTAATAGCTGATAATATAACACTATTCCATATTACGTTTTTATGGTGATGAACAAAGCGTTAATAAGAACAGCTTTATTTTAATAAATAAATTATGAAAAATCTAATTTTTATCAACCATGTATGTCATAGGACTGTTAGATAATGACCAATATTAGTAACACAATGCATTATTTGTTACTATATTCATAATAGGTACCGACTAGTAAGTTTTAAACGGATATTACGTTATTGTTCATTATCTGAAGAAAAATATTTTCATGATAATATTAAAGTATGTGTATATCAAATATTGAAAGAAAAGTTTATTTTTTAYTCGGCATTTAAAGTGTTGATAAAAAAGATAAGTGAAAAAAATTGCATTTCGAAATTTTTGCTGCACCACATCCCGCATATCAAWACTATAAATGYTTATTATTTTTGAAGTCTTGAGTATTTGCTGCTAAAAAATCACTTTTTACTTTTGATGAATTTTTTTATATACAATTATTTAAACTCGTTATTTACCAGTATTTTGTGATACCCATTCTAAAGATTYCTGAATACTGTTCAATAACACAGACATCTATATTAACAAACAAATATAAATATATTTAAATATATATATAGTTGATTAATTATAAATAAATATGTAGCCAGTGGCGTATTTTGGGTGATTTCTCGGGGGGTGTCAACATTTATTGAACCTCAAAAACAAAATTTTTACTATTATTTACTAATGTAAAAAGATATTGAATTAATTTTTTAACAAATTAATATGTTAGGAATTGACAAGAAGTTTTACATTTGATAAAAATAGTATACTATAAAATAAGTGACAACACTAATGTCCAATATATTAGGACTTTTTTTTAAATGCCGGGGGGTGTCAAGACATGGAGGACACCCCCCATAATACGCCACTGTATGTAGCGTTTGACATCAATATATTATATTATATATATATGATATATATTCATATTGTGTATATTAATTCGTATTCTTATTGGTCGTTGCAATATTTAAAYTTTATTTATTTTAAATATATATCTACAACCTAATAYAGCGCAGGCATAATATCAAGCAGGTATCTACATGTTTAGTTTAATAAAGATAACCTTTTCACAGAACCTAAAAAATATGCATATAGCATATTCATAAACAATTGCATATATAACAATTAACAACTATTAAAATTAAAATAAGGTTTTACAAATATATTTGTAGATGTAATAAGGGCTGAGATTTCAATTCATTTGGTATTTTTTTACCGGTTAATATTTTTTAATGCTGAAGAGCATTTTTAAGGATTTTTATTAAATTTAATACATACATTAATTAACAAATAATAAATGTTAATAAACGGAGTTTTATACAAAAAGCTGTATTTTATTATCAACACATATCATAACTACCTACCTAATTCTTACATTTTACATTCGATACAAGTATACAACTAGGTACCTATATAAAACCTAACCTAATAAAATCGATCGGTACAAGCCAACTCAATAAATGCGTTTTTATAAGGTATTTTCATAGTTTTTCTCGAGATATCATTATATCACATACCCASCTCTAGTTATAATAATTTTAGTATACAGGTACTACATATACGCTACTATAATCATATTATAGGTTAGGGGTCTCCAAACTACGGCCCGCGTACAAGTTTTAATCGGACCACAGCCACCATATATAGG